TCACTAGTCCTGCTAGAGTTGCCATCTACCTGATGGTAAAAGGGGTTGTCCACAAGGAAATGTCACTAGTCCTGCTAGAGTTGCCATCGACCTGATGGTAAAAGTGGTTGTCCACAAGGAAATATCACTAGTCCTGCTAAAGAATTGCCATCTATCTAATGGTAAACGGGGTTGTCCACAAGGAAATGTCACTAGTCCTGCTAGAGTTGCCATCTACCTGATGGTACCAGTGGTAGTCCACAAGGAAATGTCACTAGGCCTGCTAGAGTTGCCATCTATCTAATGGTAAACGGGGTAGTCCACAAGGAAATGTCACTAGGCCTGCTAGAGTTGCCATCTATCTAATGGTAAACGGGGTAGTCCACAAGGAAATGTCACTAGGCCTGCTAGAGTTGCCATATATCCAATGGTAAAAGTGGTCTACATGGATACATGAGTCCATCCTCAATTTGACTTGTCTCTGACTAGCTAGCCCAACCAGCATTCACTTGTCGCACCAAAGGCCCAGGTCTGAGTTCCACATAGGTACAATGTGTGAAGCCCATTTCTAGTGTCCCCTGCAGTGATACTGCAGGAATACAGCTACAAGTGTCATAAAATCATACTCACTCACCACAATACCAACCAAAACCCCGGAGTCATGTCTTGCCCTTACCACACCCAATAAACCTAAAACACCAAGTAAGTCCCTTGGTTAGACATAGTATTATCGTAACCTTTAATCTTGTAGCTATGCCATTTGATTTAGCTGGCTGCCACCGGTGACCAGTCACTGTCGAACATATGACCTACACCTTGCAGTGACACTAATGATTCTACAATAAGTGAATTTGTATTCGAAACTAAATTCCCTGTTGGAATCAGCTTCCCCTGAATCATCTGCATACAGATGACTATAACATGGGTAGGTGGCATTGGAACATTTCTTCATTTGTCATGACCAAATGTTTCAACTGGTGAATTTTAAGCACTGGTGATACTACATGTATACATCTTCATTTGTCCAAATATGTATAAATTCCGGGGTAGAATAGGTCTTCAGCAACCCATGCTTGCCGTAAAAGGTGACTATGCTTTTCGTAAAAGGTGACTAACGGGATCGGGCTCGCTGACTTGGTTGATGTACATCATCGATCCCAATTGCGTGGTTCAATGCTCATGATATCAATCACTGGATTGTCTGGTCCAGACTCGATTATTTACAGACTGCCGAGTATTGCTGAGTGCGGCTTTAAACAACATACCAACCAACCATCCCCTAAATATGTATAAAGTTTTGCTTTACATATTTTATTGGTTATGGAAAAATGTAAAAATGCAAAGAATAAAAAAGTATGCTCTAAATGATAAAAGTTTTACCAAATATACAAACAAAATCATATAAAAAAGAACTATTTTCATCAAACACATCTGAATTTATTTCTTTTTTCTTTTTTTGGCAAAACTTTCGTTAATCTGTCTATGAAATCAAGAAAATGAATTGGATGATTTTAACAAAAAAAATTAATGATCAGACTTTTGAAAAATAGCAAAGAGGCTTTAAATACCATGACCAAAGTATGGGTAAACGTGACTTGTTACCGACTTCAGTAGCTTCATGTGTCATCAAGGAGATGATGACTAGAATATATTCAAATGAGATAGGTCAGGTCACTTGTCGAAGATTGAAAAGATTTCAAATGCTGTTGCATTAAGCTTGAATTTTTAAACATAAATATATTACATATTCATTAAGCATCACATCACATCACCTTATGACCTTGTGGATGAGCAGTATTATGACTATAATCTTAACATTACATCACAGGGTTACCAAGAACAAAGACGCCATCAAATGTGTTTGGTGACTGTTATTGTAATGGCCAGACTTGATTATTTACAGACCACCATCACATAGCTTGACTACTGCTGAGTACAGAGCTAAACAACAAATGCAAGCTAAGGCACTTTACTCATCAATTAATTAATTTCAAGATTTACAATTCACAATATTATTGATCAGTTTCAGCGCCAACGTCTGTGATCCACCATCCGCACTAATTCTTCAGACCTTTGTGTATATTGGTACATGTGGATCGGGGCTACGACATCATGAACGTGGACCCAGATCCAAATCATCACTGAACAGAGGTAGTCATCATGAACACACACAGAAACAATAGTGAGTGAGTGAGTTGGGTTTAACGCCGCTTTTTACAGTATTCCAGTTATATCATGGCGTGTCAGCTTAATGTGGGAGGAAAACCCGAAGTGATGCAGGTCTCAGACATTTACCATTTCGGTCAAACCCATGAGCACAGGTATGGTGCCAATAAACCTAGAAACATAAACGGGGCAAACTGGGATTCGAACCCACAATCATAGGTTTCTGGCTTGCCCAAGGGACACAACTCTGCACAGCAAATCGCGGCGCCTTAGACAACTTTGCCAAACCGTGCTCCCCAGAAACAACAGAAATACAAACCTGAAAACATGTGCAACATACAGATAACAGATAATAATTGATAAACATAACCATCAGCCAAAATAATTTGATGCTGAAATTAGAGCATGAGAATATACACTGAGACTCATCATCCTAAATCTGGAACATTTTCCTTTGAGACACTTACCATATTCGACGTAACAAGCACCCATGGCGCTCTCAAAATTAGAAATAGGGGGCTCTTATAAGAATATTATTTTGGTGAAAAAAACCAACCTTGAAAGATAAATTTTGTGGTTTATGCTGACAGCCTGAAATGTTTATGTAGGACAGATATATTTTTCCAGAATTTAATTGCCCATGATTAAGGGTGCATATAACACACGGGTGTGTATTTTTACGCGAAAAAATAAGTCTTGTGTACATTGATCAATCGGAAGGGGTGCCAATTGGGATTGTTCACTAGCCAATATATTAGCAAATATCGCCGTGGGCGCTTATTAGAGCGGGGCACTTATTACGTCGAATACGGTAAATGGTAATTTCCTCTGCTCTTCTTACAAACAAGAGACAAGATGCCAAATGCAGAGTCCATTGTACCATTTTGACTCTATCATAAGAATGTGTCCATAACTCACCATCAAATAGTGATGATACCAGGTGAACGTCAATAGGTGTGCTTATCAAACACACATCACAAACACATGCAAAGACAAGTCAATTATTCACTTGAACAAATACACTAAACAAATGGTACAAGTCAAAATAGAAAATTGCATTGGACATCGTTTGGGTCATTGATGGTCAAATCAGGAAAAATCCTCAACATGTCTCAAACTTTTTCATAACACATTCAATTTATTTATTTGTCACAAGGGACAGCAGTTTATTTTTTATTTGCACCATAAATTGCAATATCACCTGGAGATGTGTTTTGTGTAAAAGATGACTAGAACTGCCATAATCCGATGTCACATCAAACCAACCCATCCTATACTTGTCCCAGGTAGTTCATATAAGGATCTCTCATATTAAAGCCAGACCTGTTTACTATCTAATTTTATAGAGAAGGGAATCATAGATTTTGCAAAAGTACAAAAATCAAAACTTGATTCATAACATGTTTTTATGACATTTTGTAATATGTTTTAAAACATATATTTCCAATATATTTTTTAAAGGAAATAAACCTCAAATCAGCTTCATTTTGTGCTTACCAAGAAGCCCCTGTAAAACTAGAAATTAAATTGGTCTGGCCTTAAGAACATAAACATTTTGGGAAATTTCAAATTCAACAAAAAACAAGTAATGTATGGCATTTCTTCCATCACATCCTCAAACCAAATCTAACTGTACAACGAGCTAGGAAGGAATTCATGAATACAAATACAGAAGAAAGAACATTGTTTCAATTTACACATGCAAATTTAAATATCTTCCTGTTTCAAGGTCATCTGATCATTTCAAGTTCAAAGACTACACATCAACACTTAACATGAAGACAACCAAAGAATGGAAGTCAAAACATCATATGCAAATACATCTTTGAAAAAGCATCAGAAATGCAAATGTCACAAATTATTGAAGTCAATCGAATTATGTCCATGAATATATCTGACAATGGATCATCAAGAGAGCCAAATATTATATAAAAAAGACATCACGAAGACACAACCGTGATGAGTCCAAGACGACATCCATATCAAATTTCTCATAATAGCTGACGAAATAGAGATAAAAACTCCGAGAAACTTATCATATCAAATAAACATCAATCACTGGAATTTGATTAGCTGAGAATATTCTGAAATATGTCTAAATTCTTCTCCCATTTACTGCCACGACAGAAAATCTATTAACTTTTTGATCAGCAACAGCAGTCTGCTCTCAACTCTGATAAATTGATTTTCAAATACGAAATGCAATGCATATGGGTACATTCATTTTATTATGAATGAAGTGAAAAGGTTAAACCACAGAGACCTATATCAAATGTTCCAGGAAGTAGAAGTCTGTGCTTGTAATGTGAAGTTCCAACACGAAATCCATCTAGGCATTGAAAGAAGCAGAATTCGACAGGAGAAATATGTTAATTCCCAATGACCTCTTATTTGAGTGACTGAGATCACTTAAAGGCTCTCCTAATCAACATATAGCTGCAGCACCATTACATCATTGCCAAAATTCGGCAAAGGGGTAGAATCGGCATTAAACTTATCTGCTTCTTAAATCTGTTTCTTGCCGTTCAAATCCATCCAATTCCATTGCAAAAGAAAGCCAAAGACATTCCAGAAGTAGCTGCCGAATTCTGGCATTGGAACCACGGGGAAATATTTGACCTTGAATTGTGTTCATATGAATGACATTATTGCGAATATACATTAAGATGTTCTTCTGTTATTGATAGAGATATGAAAATGAAAAATATTGGTAAAATGCAGTCAATCAGAAATACAAGCATTGATAATAGTCTCACATTACACACTGCAGTCAATTAACTATTTGCAATACCCAATGGTGCCTTTCAAATACATATAACTTATAAAAATATTGGCACTTGAGTCTAAGGACTCACCTTGTTGAAATGTTTCCCAAGGAAAAAAGCCCCAAAGTAACTGCTAACTTTCCTCTGAAAACATGTATCAAGTTTAGGCAAAACAAATTACTAGTACCTCCTTGTAAAATGGTTGCCAACTGAGGAACTCTCCGTGTATACGTCCCGCAAATGCCGAGTGCCGATATTGGTTGCCGTTGGAATAATCAGAGACCCAACCTTCTATTGATTTTCCTGATGAAGATCGGGGGCCGTTTCAAAACTGGGCAGGCCCATTTCTGTAAAGGGAAGGCATCAAATTATTTAACCTTGAATTGTTGAGCTGATATTTAGCGCCACGTCTATTGGTTGGCTTCACAACCATTCCTGCATTTCCAGGCTGCCAAGCAACCTTTGCCGCCATAATGGAGTAATGGCGATTAGCTTTATGGGTGATGTGATATTAAATAAAATAAATCAAATAATATGCATGGACGGTGCCTGGCTGGTTGGCAGTGTCCAGCACGTAGCTACAGCAGTGTAGTGAGTGGAAGTGGGGATATTACGCCCTGGAGTCATTTGTGTGAGGAATATTTACAGGAGCGATATCTTCTTTACACGATTGCTTCCACATTGTGAACACACTGGAGATGGCTTAATAGCCTCACCCTATTTGTATGAGATTATATCTCAGACTGTCCACAAAAAAAAAATTCCATTTATCATGACAAAGTTGTAGGTTCTTCATTAGAATTAGCTGGGGATGATGGCGGAAATGGAATGATTTGTATCAGAGAATCCCTAAGCGTTGATGAATTCCATGTCACTTTCCAAACATCTGAAAAGTATGTTTCATGGGCGAAGGAAAACTATGTTAGGCAGTGTAAGTTGAAAAATGAGTTTAGATATGCAGTGTTCAAAATTATGGGAAACCCTGGGGTCCTGGGCCCACTTGCACAAAGTGATCTTAGCGCTAAGATGATCGTAACTCCCATACTTTAACATAGGCTTACAATAGTCTTAGCGCTAAGATCGCTTTGTGCAAGTGGACCCTGAACGAGGTTTGATCCAATAGTACCAGTAATTGAATCTATGGACCCTAATAGTTTTATTTGGAACAGTGTGCTAGTGTCAGGAACCCCTTCTCTGTCATGCTAGGTTCTGAACACTGGATATGTAATTTGTTCATACTATTATTATCTACCATAGACATTCTATTAGGATCAACAAGAAACACTAATAAAATATGTTTCACTGATGAACAAACATCAAATTCATGAAATATATATCTTTCATATTTGCCATTTTAGCGGAACCCATGCTTGCTGTAAAAGGCGACTATGCTTGTCGTAAGTGGCGATTAACAGGATCGGGTGGTCAGGATCGCTGACTTGGTTGATGCATGCCATCGGTCCCAATTGCGTGGATCAATGCTCATGATATTAATTACTGGATTGTCTGGTCCAGACTCGATTATTTACAGACCGCCGTCACATAGCTGGAATATTGCTGAGTGTGGCGTTAAACAACAAACCAACCAACCATTTACCGGTAAGCGGCCTGCTCCAATAAAAGCCTCCGACTAACTTCTAGATCAACCTGTATGAAATCTTTAGAAGCGCTCTCTACTAACACTGACAATTTACATAAGTCCATATATTCTTGTGGATGTTACAAATATTTTACAGAAAACAGAGCATAAAAGGGATATATAATAGTAATAATTCAAAAAATATTTTGTTTCATCGACATATGAACTTAGTTTGTTCAATACCGCTTGATCTCTGAAAACAGATTTAACTTATTGTGTATGGTTTGAATAAATGTCCCCCTTTGTCAATTTTCTAAAACCTGAGGTGCTTATTATGGCTATTACGGTACATGTTTATGATCTTAATCGACTTAAATTACTAAGGTGTTTTATTTACTATATATGAAATGAATTCGAAACAACATGTACTGCACTATTTATCTAACATAATTTTGTGAATTATCTTTTCTTTTCTCTTTTGCAGCAAATAACAAAATGGCTGGTTAAACATTTTAAATATAATTTCCTCACCACAAAGAAATTCATTTTTACATATCGGCACCTTACTCCAGCATTCACCCACTCACCCACCGTCCTACTTCAGAGTATTGCCATGGCATTCACATAATCTCGTTGGCAATCTTATTATTTCATAATAAAACAGAATTATTATTTATTTGAATCCATTTGTTCATCATTGATTCGGTTATACCTAAAATATAAAAGGAAAGAGCCAAGATCACAAGATTACAAACATCAGATCCAGGCATGGCAAGGGGATGCAACTCTTGAAAGACATTTTCAAGAGGCTCCATCAGCATGCTGACAAGGTAAGGATGTAATCTGTTGGGTGAATCCATGTCCCGGTGGTACATTAGCACAAGTCTCAAATTTATTAGTATAGGCCCACTTTCACTAAACCATCTTAGTGCTAAGATTTCTATAGGTCAGTGCTAAAGTATGGGAGTTACAAGTTATCATCACAGCTAGGTTACAAGGATTCCATCTTGTTGAAAACGTTTGTGTGGCAATATTTTAGACAGTCTGTACTTTTCATCTCCTGTCAGTCGATCCCTGCCTTAAATTCTCACTCAAACATGTCATTATTCATTTATTCACCTACTTGCCACATTGATACATATTATTCCCCGCAAAAGTAATGGCTTTATATTTTCATTAAGAAAATCCACTAAATATTTGAAGAAGGGAAGTAACTCTGATTTACTTTTCCACCATCTTTGAGCCCCCTGCTTTTTTTCCATTTTTAGCTCTGAACACTGATGCATTTCAGAAAAAGCACGACAGATGATATACCATCAATCATTATTGCACATGTTCAAAACAACAAAGTATTTTTTTATTTCCTTCCGCGACAAAGCTGAAAATGGCGATGAGAAAGACACAAATAATATGGATGGTGTTACGTCCTGAAGCAGACGCACAGCAATTTCTCAAAGAGCAGACACTCAGCAATTTCTCAAAAAGCAAACTGAGTGAATTGTGACGCGGAGGGACAATCTGTACAGACCGGCAAGCCAACTTGCCAACCAACTATTGGATTTCACAAGTTTTAACTGACCAATCAGATAGCTACAATTCAAAACATGTTATAATAATGTTTTTGTGGCATCCATTGTGGTTATCTGATCATCATCATGTTCTTCTAAAATAAAAAGATATATATTCGTGGTTACCTGTGATATCTAAACGAAATAATATATTTAGTTATTTATGAAACGCAGAGACGTAGAATAATGACTTTCCTATGTAAAAATGTCAAATTTGAAAAACAAGTATCATCATCGTATCTTATTTCTAATGGGTTATAGCAGCCAGTGCTCGAGTTAAGAAAAACAAGATCTCTCCTTGACAACCAGAACCAGATCATCATCACTGTCAGTGCTTCCAGACAAGCCAAACATACGTAATATACTCCGTCAAACAAGGACAACACAAGAAAAAATACCCATATATACAAAATATACAATTTTGTATATTTGATATTTCCAAAATATACAATTTTGTATAGTTGGTATTTCCAAAATATACAATTTTGTATATATGGTTAGATTTTACCACTGCTTCATTCAATTTCCTCACCTCTTATAGAATGTTTCACATAATATGTGGTTGCAAAGTTTACTAATGATACCGAACAGTATAATTATTGCATGTGACAATAATGCTTTAATACTATTTTCATTATGACAACTATATGATGTTATGAACTAATTTGTATTTCGTTATGTTTTACAGATCTTAATAACAGTTTGATCAATATAAAATGCGTACGCCAGCAACAAGTAGTTGAAAGTAGTTTTAAACATTGATGTTTATCGTTCCAAAGCTCTGTTCTCCAGCTCAGTTCATCTTTGTTTACGAGAACGTTTTTAATATGGGCAATTTTCTTCTTTCGGGACATTGGAGCAGTCATAATATTCATAACATCATAAATATTAAGATTACAGGCAATTTTAACAACTTTAGTACTCCATGAACTTTTACATAGTAACCATTTTCTTCATCAAAGCATTACAAGTACTGTTATTAAATCTTTGGGTAGTCTAAAAACATTAGCATGTAATGTAACAAACGGGGAGGAGAGACCCATGTCTCCCTAAGTGGCTATACATGGAGGTACCGTTACTAACACCAAGAAATAATTTACCGGCTCTATTGTGGATTAGATTAACGTTTTATCCTCATATACCAGAGCCATAGATCATTACCGGCTCAACAAGACTTTCATACAGTTTCATAAAAAACATCATAAGACATACACCCAACAGAATAAGACGAAGCATGGCTGGCAGAATTGTACAACTCTTTCACAGTTTCACATATCTAGATGCTCGTCAACCCGTAGTCCCAGATAACGATATGATTCTACATAGACCAGTGTTTGCCCAGCGAAGAGGAATCTGGTTAATCTGTATCACTTAACGAGTGGTGAATAGCTTACTCTGCCCACAGTCGAGAGCAGCACAGTAATTAGTAGTTTAGACCAGGCGAATACACTGGTCACACTTGACTGGTCTGTCTGATGATTCGGTCACCTGCCAAATGGGATGTCTGACAATTGGGTGTGAACCTTACAGAGGAAGTTATTTTATGAATGCGTCACGTGTTTCAAAAGAGATGACCATTATCTAAGTGAAATACTTCTAAGATCATAAAGGACATAACATTTAATAAAGTGAAATTCATTTTCGACAAACTTTTATGAACAATTTTAAAACAGTGCGGGCAAATTCTATTTTCTAAAAGGTTTGGGGGGTTGTAAATCGTCCTGTTTCGATCCAGATCTAAAACTAGCTAAAATGCGACGGTGGTCCCTGTATTTAAAACATAAGGAGCAACAACGTTACGATCATGAAAGTTCTTAATGTATTGCCCTTAACGTTATGTTTATCGTTCCAAGCTCTGTTCTCCAGCTCAGTACATCTTTGTTTACGAGAACGTTTTTAATATGGGCAATTTTCTTCTTTCGGGACATTGGAACAGTCATAATATTCATAACATCATAAATATTAAGATAACAGGCAATTTTAACAACTTTAGTACTCCATGAACTTTTACATAGTAACCATTTTCTTCATCAAAGCGTTACAAGTACTGTTATTAAATCTTTGGGTAGTCTAAAAACATTAGCATGTAATGTAACAAACGGGGAGGAGAGACCCATGTCTCCATTAGTGGCTATACTGGAGGTACCGTTACTAACACCAAGAAATAATTACGGGCTCTATTGTGGATTAGATTAATGTT